GCAAGAGGAGGTGGACGGGGAAGAAGAAAACAGAAAAGAAGAAAAAGAAGATAAAGAAGAATATGATGATGATGACGAAGAAAGAGAGAGAGAGAAATGTAAGGAGATATTAGGAAGCTAAATATAAACAAAAGAGAGGGGAGAATATGAAATAGAAGAAACGAAACGGAAAAATAAGGAGGGAAAGAGACCGATGGCGTAATAGGGAAGAGACAGAGTGATAGAAAAATGAGAACGGCAGGAAGAGAGAGAGAGAAAGCTGAAAAAGAAAACGAAAGGGAGCGAGAGCAGTGGGAGGGAAAAAACGGAGAGGAAGGAAAAATAGATAGATTGATAGACAGATAGAGAGCGAGAACGAGAAAGAGAGAGAAGAGAAAGAGAGAGAAAGAGAAAGAGAGAGAGAGAGAGAGAGAGAGAGAGAGAGAGAGAGAGAGAGAGAGAGAGAGAGAGAGAGAGAGAGAGAGAGAGAGAGAGAGAGAGAGAGAGAGAGAGAGGAGAGAGAGAGAGAGAGAGAGAGAGAGAGAGAGAGAGAGAGAGAGAGAGAGAGAGACAGAGAGAGAGAGAGAGAGAGAGAGAGAGAGCATAGAGAGAGAGGAGAGAGAGAGAGAGAGAGAGAGAGAGGGAGGGAGGGGGGAGGGAGGGAGGGAGAGGGAGAGAGAGGAGAGAGAGAGAGAGAGAGAGAGAGAGCGAGAGAGAGAGAGAGAGAGAGAGAGAGAGAGAGAGAGAGAGAGGGGAGGAGAGGAGGGAGAGAGAGAGGGAGGGAGAGAGGGAGAGAGAGAGAGAGAGAGAGAGAGAGAGAGAGAGAGAGAGAGAGAGAGAGAGAGAGAGAAGAGAGAGAGAGAGAGAGAGAGAGAGAGAGAGAGGAGACAGAGAGAAAGAGAGAAATAGAGCGAGAACGAACGAGAAATCAAGACCAAGACAGACAGACAGAGAAAGCGAGAATACGAGAGAGAGCGCGCGCGCGACCATCTCCTCATCCGGGTAATGGGCCTCCCCTCCCATTTTACGGCGTCAGATGTTTGTGCAAATTCCATTATCCGGCCATTTTTCCCTTCGCCCCCTTCCCCAAGAGCAAGTTCCCGGGGCTAATTTTCTCTTGTTGAATTTTTACGAGCCGGTTCGGACAAGCAACTTTATATTGGGCTCCGGCAGGTCTGGCCTTGACAAAGTTCCTGATGCAGGGAGATCATTTGATTAAGGAACTTATATATGGGATTTAATACTCTATAGCGGAGTGGAGGCGAGTTAGGGAGGGAGTGCTGCCGTCCGGAGATGGGTTCGGATCGCGTCTGTTTTGGTGTTTTATGCTCTATAGGAATACGTGTGTGGAGGCGGATTGCTTTTCTTACTCTGGGAATTGTTGAAGAGGAGGCAAATGGGATGAAATTATCTTATCGTTCTTTGATGACATTAGGAGATATTTCGATAACGGTCTTTTTATAGAGGGAAAGAGGGAGGGAGAGAAAGGGATGGGGGAGGGAAGGAGGGAGGGAGAGGGAGAGAGAGAGGGAGAGGAGAGAGGAGAGAGAAGTGAGAGAGAGAGTTAGAGGAAACTAATGTAACAGCAGTAGAATATTTACTCTTTCCTTTTATGTGCCTTCTTTAAGTCCCAAATACCGACAAGCTAAACAAATGAAAGACATAAACATTAATTGTTGCATAGACCCCCTCCACTCCCCCCAAAAAATGCAATACTGAGTGCATGAATTTCAAGTAATGAATTGTCCAATTATGCAAATAAATGTGTATGTACCTGTTTTGTGGAGATGTTATATGTAATTTGTACATTGAATATTCTCATCTGAATTAAAGAGGCAAGCTTGATAGAATAATAAATACAACAAATCAACAAATAGTAATTGGAGATGTAAAAATCAATACAAAATTTATCATCAGTTAATATGGATTAAAAGAAAAAATATACAAATAAAAATAAAGATAAGAGAGAAAAAAGAGATAAAAATAAGACAAAATCAATATAAACAAAGGCATAAGATAAACAAAGAACAGTTGAAAGAGAGAGAGAGAGAGAGAGAGAGAGAGAGAGAGAGAGAGAGAGAGAGAGAGAGAGAGAGAGAGAGAGAGAGAGAGAGAGAGAGAGAGAGAGAGAGAGAGAACGAACGAACAAAGAAATAACAAAAATCTTTCATTCAGGGAGAGCAAGAGAGCCCGATTCACGCTCCAGTAGCCTATGTGTTTATCAATCGCCTTTTGGCTTCCAAACCGAATTACAAAAGAGAATTGGAAAATGCAGCAGCGAAAGGGGCGGAGGGGGAAATATCAAAGATTATTCGCAAAGTTATCTAAAAGGACAATCAATATTTTACATTTATCGCTAACGAGTCAATTGCCATGGTCTCCGTTTTCTATCACTCGACGGAAACAGAAAACGAACGACTAGGGTGGCGGAGGGATGAAAGAAAACGGGAACTGTGGCAGAGAGTAGAAAGAAGTAAAAATGAGATAGAGGGAGAACTTTAATTCGAAAAATATGAATGGAAATGGCAATAACGTTGAAAAAGAAATGGAGGCAGGAGGTAGTAAACACAGAGTTAAGAGAAAAGAAAGAAAAGGAAAACAAAACAAAAGAAGGAAGAGAACGAAAATATAATATCAATTAGCGAATTTATCATTATAATTTCACAAAATCACAAAAGTAATACCATCATACTTTTTGTTTTTATCATTACTGACATAATCACTGTCACCAGTACATACCTATTTACTATTGCAAATTATTAACGTCCTTATTACCATA